CTGACAAATCTATTCCCAAATATCTGAACACATTCACTTCTTTCATACTCCCTCCAATGTGATATCCAATTTTTCTTTATCTACATTGTTTAATACCCTCATCACCTTACTCTTATCTGTGTTCACTTTGAACTTTCTATACATACCCTCCCAAATTCATCCTCTAACCTTTGCAACTTTTCCTTAGAATCTCCCAGAAGCACAGTATCATCAACAAAAAGTAACTATGTCAACTCCCATTTTGTATTTGATTCCCTATACAATAATTTAATTCCACCCCTCTCCCCAACACCCTAGCATATACTTCTTTTACCACCCAATCTATAAATATGTTAAACAGCCATGGTGACATTATACATCCCTGTCTAAAACCTACTTTTACTGGGAAATAATCACCCTCTCTCTCCTACATACCCTAACCTGAGCCTCACTATCCTCATAAAAACACTTTACAGCATTTAGTAACTTACTACCTATTCCATATACTTGCAACATCTGCCACATTGCTCCCCTATTCACTCTATCATATGCCTTTTCTAAATCCATAAATGCAATGAAAACTTCTCTACCTTTATCTAAATACTGTTCACATACATGCTTCAATGTAAATACTTTATCTACACATCCCCTACCCATTCTAAAGTCTCCTTGTTCATCTGCAGTCCTGTTCTCTGTCTTACCTCTAATTCTTTCAATAAATAATCCTACCATACACTTTACCTGGTATACTCAGTAAACTTATTCCCCTATAATTTCTAGTCTCTTTTGTCCCCTTTCACTTTATATAAAGGAACTATATATGCTCTCTGCCAGTACCTAGGTACCTTCCCTTCTTTCATACATTTATTAAACAAAAATACCAACCACTCCAGCACTATTCCCCCCTTGCTTTTAACATTTCTGCCATGATCCCAACATTTCTAACTGTTTTACCCCCTTTCATTCTACATGCCTCATGCCCCTTCCCCACACTTGTTTCCTGCTCTTCTTCGCTCCTGAAAGATGCTATACCTCCCTGGCCAGTGAATGAAATTACTGCCTCCCTTTCTTCATCGACATTTAAAAGTTCCTCAAGATATTCCCACCATCTTCCCAATACCTCCAGCTCTCCATCTACTAACTCCCCTACCCTGTTTTTAACTGACAAATCCATCCATTTCCTAGGCTTTGTTAACTTGTTTATCTCGCTCCAAAATTTTTTCTTATTCTCAGCAAAATTTGTTGACAATGCCTCTCCCACTCTATCATTTGCTCTCCTTTTGCACTCTCTCACCACTCTTTTCACCTTTCTTTTACTCTCCATATTCAATTTAGTGCTTTCTTTGATTATAATAATAATATAATAATAAGTTCTCTCCATATTCTCCGCCCTTATATCACTTCTGCTTTGTAAAAAACCTCATAAGTGACCGTTTTCTCTTTTTTCGCACCCTTTACCTCATCATTCATTTATTTATTATTAATTTGGACATGATATATAGATGTACAAAGAAATACAGTGGTTAAGTGTACATGGCAAAAGCCCCTTGTATGCAGAGCATTATGGGCAGGCTTAAAATTAACCTAAGATTAACTAAGCAATGATATATTCAGTGGTAAAAATTACAGTAAACAAATGACAATTAAGCACAAATGAGTATTTCAAAGACAGATCATTCCACCAATCACACTTCTTTCCTCCTGCACCCACAAACTTCTGCCCCACATTCTAACACTGCATTTTTAAAACTATCCCACCCCTCTTCAACTCCCCCACTACCCATACTTGCACTAGCCCACCTTTCTGTGAATAGTTGCTTATATCTCACCCTAACTTTTCCTCCTTTAGTTTATAAACTTTCATTTCTCTCTTACTTGCTGTTGTCATTTTCCTTCTGCACCATCTACCTCATACTTTAACTGTAGCTACAACTAAATACAGTCTCTCCTCATTTAGCAAAATACTCATTTACCGACCACTCGGACTTACGACCAGCTCTCCAACCAGTATGCAAACATAAATAATGTACATAAGAGCTGATTTCCTCTGTTCTGTTTATTACAGTACAGTGGTAGCTTGAGATATGAACTTAATTAATTCCAGAAGGCTGTTCGAGTTCCGATACCGAATGAATTTTTTCCCATAAGGAATACACGTAATGTAAATTAGATTGATCCGTTTCAGACCCCCAAAAGTACACTTACAAAGCACTTACATAAATACACTTGCATAATTGTTTGAGTTTTGAGCTGTTTGTATCCCGAGGTACCACTGTACATATACAGTAAACTACTGTATAAACATTTGAACATATACCAGAAATTTTATAAATGGTGCAAAGGTGATATTAGAAAAATATCTTAAGTTGGTTGATACAAATGCACTACCAGTATAGTATGCTCCTCGCTCAGCGACCAATTCACTTACCGACCTACTCTTAGGGACCTAACCCCATCGTTAAGTGACGAGAGGCTGTAATGATCCAATGTATACAAGCCATACCACGGGCGGGGATAGAACCCGCAATCAGAGAGTCTCAAAACTCCAGACCGTCGCGTTAGCCACTGGACCAGCTAGCCACAATAAGATTTGTCCAACTAGGTATATTTCTACACCATAGGAAAGTTAGCATAGGCACCACTGTGACCACAAATGCAAGTTTTTACAGACGAATCTCTGTAAAAATTTGCATTTGTGGTCACAGTGGTGCCTATGCTAACCTTCCTATGGTGTAGAAATATACCTAGTTGGACGAATCTTACTGTGGCTAGCTGGTCCAGTGGCTAACGCAACGGTCTGGAGCTTTGAGGCTCTCTGATCGCTGGTTCTATCCCTGCCCGTGGTATGGTTTGTTTGCAATTGTGTCATTACGATTTCGTGAGTCATATTAACGGCTTTGAGGGGACTTGAGCTAAAGTTTGTCACAGCCACGCTAGCTGGAGATTCGTCTGTAAAAATTTGCATTTGTGGTCACAGTGATGCCTATGCTAACCTTCCTATGGTGTAGAAATATACCTAGTTGGACGAATCTTATTGTGGCTAGCTGGCCCAGTGGCTAACGCAACGGTCTGGAGTTTTGAGACTCTGATTGCGGGTTCTATCCCCGCCCGTGGTATGGTTTGTTTGCAATCGTGTCATTACGATTTCGTGAGTCATCCAATGTATCTGTTGTCCCTCTATAAACATGCAAATCCTGAAGCCTACCCATCAACCTTTTATCCACCAAATACATAATTTAACACACTACTTTCATTATGTGCTATATCATGTATACTTATCCTCTTTTTCATAAAATATGTACGTATTACTTTTTGCCAAACCTCTTTCTACATATAGTTTAATTAAAGGCGGGAGCCTGTAATTAAACTATATGTAGAAATTAAACTAAATTTGTACTTACCCCCCCCCACCCCCAAATTTGCCTACTACTCCCTCCACAACATTTTTACCCACTTTAGCATTTAGATCCACAACCACAAGTTTTCTGTCACTTGGTTCAAAAAACCCCACGCACTCATTAAACATTTCCCAATTTAGTTTATAAACCGTATTATGTATAGCAAAACCTGTACTGTTCAAAATTGTACTGTGCGAGGTATAACTGTAATCTTGGCCACAAACTTCACATGTAGCACAAGTTTACTATTGCACATTACTTGTTGGTGGTGTAGTATTGTATTAGTACAGTACATAATAGTGTGGTATTAGTAATTCAAAACTTGTCTCATCCTTCTCACAGCTTCACCTGCAAGATACTGTACTCCTTAATTTAAATTTAAAGTGGTTTATGCCACCACTAGCTTTGTTATGGTTAGGCACTTTCTTCCAGCAATTTATAGCTGTGTAGAAAGTTTCTGATACCTGCCTGCGTGTAGTAGGTACTAAAGAGTTGTATTCGCCACTCTTAGTATCCTTGGCTTGGCAAAAACCTTGGTAACAGATCCCTACAAATTGGTTTAGAAAGACTTGGGAGCAAACACTGAAATGTTTTCTAATAAATATATCTTAGTCACCTAGTGTTTGCTTACGTCTTTCTGAACCTATCTTTGGCTTACATCTGATAGACCTGAGATAAAGCCCAGCACAGGTGGCAATATTGTGCACACTTCCTTACACTTGTTGCCTCGTTTCACCTAGCAGTGTGTAGGCTGAATCTTGGGAAAAAAAGATTCAAGAACCCCAGTGGAAATAAGTCAGACATAGTGGCTTTTCTGGGTCATCCTGGGTTGCAAACCTGTGTGTTAATAATTTAAGTTAAATCATCGTCTTCATCCCTGTCAAATTTTGAGGCAACGTAATCTTGACATAGGTTATTAGGAAGCTTGTAGACATATTTTTTGCTAGTTTACTCTATCTGTCACTTAGTTTATCAATTTTTGCTTGTATTGTGCTTCCAAACTTACATTTTCAGTTGCATTAATGTTGAGTATTAACTGTATCGTGTTATATATATATAGTAACTTGTGGTTTAGAAAGACACATAAGCAGACACTTGGACATACTTATTAGAAAGCATTTTGGTCCTGGGACCTTGATTATATATTAATTTATTAATAATAATAATAATTATTATTCATAGAGCATCTGACATTAGGGAGGGAGGCGGGGCAATTATATTTGACCTGAGGGAGGGGACAAAAGCTCCAGTTCATTAGGTGGAGAGCCCTTTACTTGCAGCAAAGCACTCGATTGAAGGGTGTAGTTTGCTCAGGTATTTAGTGTGTACTGTAGTTAATGAGGCAGCTTGTGTGCATCATACATTAGATTACTTAATATTTACCACTGTCATTACATTTTACCACTACTGTCTCATTGAAGATGTGACAAACACTTGCTTTTTAACTAGCTACTAGCTTAGTATGTAAGCAACAGGTCCAGTTAAGTACTTTAAAAAGTGTATATTGAATTAGTGTATGTTATCAATTTTTTATTTTTATTTTTCCAGGTATCAAGCTTTGTTCTTCTGCAATATAAATGTTAAGGGATAAGCATTAATTTTGCATTAATAATTGTTTGACAGATACTGTACTACCAAGATGGGGAGTCGTAGCTTGCAGGAGTTGTTGCAACAGGCAGAGCAGCTAGCCAGTAATCTGAATGGTGGAGGTGAACTTCCACGTGTTGATCGCTCTCTCCAGCAAATTCTTCATACTGGCCAGCAGCTGTGGTCCCGAGCCTCAACCCAAGCATCTACTGCCAACGATGCACAGGCGTAAGTGCAATGATGTGTTTTTTAATAAATTATCTTACTACTGTATATGGTATAGACACCAGCTAATGAACTGGATACAGTGGTACCTTGACTTACCAGTGCCCCAACTTATAAGTTTTCTGAGTTACAAGCCGTCGCTTGGTCGATTTTTTGCTTTGAGTTGTGAGCCAAAATCCGAGTTATGAGCAAAAAAAAAAAGAATATTTACTGAAAAAAAAATGACTGAAAATGACATTTGGCAAGAACCCCGGCCTAAATGGCACAACGAAAGGTGGTTTTGGGACTTGGTACTTATAAAACAATGCTAGTGCGATTCTACAACAAAAAGGTGGTTTTGGAACTTGGTACTTATAAAACAATGCTAGTGCGATTCTACAAAAAAATAAAGTTGCTAAGCTTTTGACATTTGCAAAATATCTTGCCCTTTACTCCCACACAAATTCCAAAATATTTGGAATATTTCCAGTATTCACAAGCCAATTGTAGAACAATAATTTTTTTATGATTCCTGTCAATATTATTGCATTTACTTCAATAATAAATGGTGGGCTTCATGAAATAAGTCAATAACATACTTCCAAGATATTCATATATCGTTGCACTAGTAATCTAGTGCAGTTAGCCTCTCAAGAACTCTGTTTTCTCTTACCCAGGACCAAAGAGCAAGTTATAGGAAGGAGAAGTAATGATTTTATATGCTCGGACAATTTTGGTAAACTGCCAGCTTCTTTGTTATTGTCATCACTGTCCTACTTTTCCATGTTGGTACCACGACACTGATCTACAATTTTTACATCACTCAGTATCTCGTAATTAGGATTGGCATCATTATCTTCTAATTGTACCATCACATCTTCTGTAACATTTGTATTTCAGCCCTCTGAAGGGTTTGATGAAAATTACTGCCCAAAGTCCAACTCATTATCAACATTAAACATTTTGTCATATTCGTTTCCTTTCATGATATTACAGGGCTGCTGATGGCAGATTTCAGGTTGTACTTCTTGGTGTTGCCTTGGTCTTTCTCCAAATCTTCCTCCTCAGTCACTACCATTACTTTATCTAAATATCTAGACTGGTACACCCTCGTGTAGGCTGCCTTAATCTCTTGATCCATAGGTTGCATCAGGGAAATACTATGCTGTTTGGAAACAAAGCCTTAAATATCCAACTTAATATATCGATAAATGGTTTCCCTATTTCAAGACAAACTGAGGGTAAATTTCTGGGTCTTCTCCTTGACTGTAATCTTAAATTTCATTGCCACACCAAGCATATATCCAAGAAAATTTCCAAATCGGTAGGCATCCTTTCCAAGATACGATACTATGTACCCCAAACAACACTTCTTACCCTATCTTACCCTATACCACTCTTTAATATATCCCTACCTCACGTATGGTATTTGTGCCTGGGGATCAACCACAACCAACCACCTTAAACCTTTAACCCCGTGACTGTCGCAGCCCCAAATCCTGAGGTGTCTCCTGGTATCTCAAAATTTCCAAAAAAAAAAAAAAAAATCTTATGAAATGATAGAGAATCTTTTCCCGATTGTAATGACACCAAAAGAACGAAATTTGATGGAAAATTGACAGACTTAGGCTCTCGCAAAGTTAGCGACCTCGGCGATATTTACGAATCGGTGATTTCGCCCACTTTGAACCCTATTTTTGGCTAATTCCATTGTTCCAGTCGACCAAACTCATAGCTATTTCTTTAGAACTCAATTTTTTCTATCGATTGAGTACAAGAAACTGCCCATTTACCGATTTCAACTACCCAATAATGTGGTCAGAAATTTGCAATTTGGCCAATTTCACGAAAATTAAAAATATGACATTTTCAAAATAGGGTCCAGAATGAGCAATGCAGACATTCCTGGCTCTAAAATAACATTTTCTTTGTTCATCAGTCACGTCTCCAGGCCCCTCTGATATTACTCTTGCTTTCTATTTTGAATTTTTATTCAACCAAAAAATAGAAGATTTACTGTTATGCAGACTACTGCAATATTGTAATAATTGTATAAATAATGTCAACCCATTCATGACTGCATATTATAATGGCTACTTGGACATTTATTGGAAAATGACATCATTTGTTTACTTTTGAACATTGGCAAAAATCCAACATTTTCCCTACTTTGAGCTCCATCTCAAGGTTCTTTTCATAGCAAAACCAATCAAGATCGCCTTTATTTCTATAATATGTTTTCCATTCTATCGAATGAGACCAAGAAAACGAGAATAAAACCATAAATACTATACGAAAATATACCACAAAGTTGGCATTTTAATTAAAAAAAATGGTTGGAGTTTTTTTCTCATTATGCACTGCGTGCTGCAGGATTTTTTTTATATGGTGCACACTGACCCCACAGACCCATTCTCTCACATGTGGGCCTACCAGCTTTCTCCTGCTTGATTTGAAGCCACTGGAATTTGAGTATATATAAGTCAAACAAGGTGGCTCATAAGACCTATATATACGATCGAAACAGTCAAAAGGTTAATAACCCAACAAAAAGCGCTGTGCAGATGATTACCAGCTCCTGTGCTAGGCAGCACACTCCACCACTTTTCAAAAGCCTAAACTTGCTAAATATATGAGACATACTCTCATAGTATTGTGCCTACTACATATACAGAACATAAACTCCAATATAAATCCTCCACTTAAACTTCTTGATAGCTACAACAGAACGCAGTCACAATACAAGGCATGAGGCACTCTTCGACATCCCTCGTGTCAGTGTCACACTATGCAAAATTTCAATGCAAGTAGAATCAATAGGTCACAGGGAGGAGTAGGAATCTATGTAAAGAATACTTTCTGTTGCACAGAAATGCTGAATTCTACGAAGGATATAATAGAAATTCTAGGCATTAAAGTTGAAAATAGGAATTTGGTAATTATCCTAGTATACAAACCACCATCGGCAACTGCTGAGGAATTAACAGATCAGTTAAGTAAGATAGATAGCTATTTGGATAGGCTAGAAAGTCCTACACCAAATATTTTACTCCTTGGAGATTTTAATCTCCCTCATGTAAAATGGAAGATGGCGCAGTGTAATGTTATACCAGAAATATCCCCGGGAAGTACCCTGGCTCAACAGGTACATACCAGGGAAATAATGAGGTTTTGTGAATAGTACTCTTTAAACCAACAGGTAACTGATCCCACTAGAAATGAAAATACCCTGGATTTGATATTCACAAACAACGAGGAACTGATCAGAGACATAACGGTTTCCAAAACTATTTACTCTGATCATAACATCATAGAGGTTCAAACTAGTATTAACTTAGGGGTAGGAAACTGCAACGCTGAAGTTAGAGACGGGATGTTCAGTAAGTTTAATTTTAATAGCCATATAATTAACTGGGAAAAAATAAACCAAGAGCTATCAGACATACCCTGGGAATCAGACATGAGCGACCTAAATCCCCACCAGTGCCTAGAGAAGCTGAATACAGAAGCATACAAAGTATGTATGAAACATGTACCATTGAGGAAGCCCAGAGGAAGATTAGATATAGAGAGAGAGCGTAGGAAATGGTACAGAAGAAGAAAACGGGTTACTAAACTGCTGAAAAACGCAAATATGCTACAACAGAGGAAAGATAGACTTAGCAGAGAGATCACTGAATTAGAGCAAAAACTTAGGATGTCATACCTCACAGAAGAAGTACAAAGGGAACAAAAGGTCATACAGGATATTGCAAGAAACCCAAAATATTTCTATTCCTACGCAAAATCCAAGCTAAGAACTACCTGTAGAATTGGACCACTACTGAGAGGAGACTCATATACTGACGATGACAGGAAATGAGTGAATTCCTAAAAGAACAGTATGAGTCGATGTTCAGCAACCCACTAAATGACAGATTAGATTTTGCCACCGAAGTGGCTAGTTTATTGTGCACCCCATACCATCCTGTGGCGGTACGCGCGAGAGCTATGGATACACAAAAGCCTAGGAACTAGCCCAAGGGTTTAACAGGAAACAAGGATTATATCGACATATCTATAGTTCCACTATCTTACAGCAAATTTAGGAAATTGTTTGTATATGTATCTTATTTCAAAGACAGAAGGGAGAAAATCAGAATATTTTCACTCCAGAAGAAGGCCGACAGACAACTAACTGACAATACAAATCCATAGTTGAAAAGAAATGAAAGCCACTCACTCAGCACCTGGACAGATTATGGAAGCTCTATTAAAAAAAGTGCAAAGTACCACTGACACGGAGCCCTCAGTATTCTTGGGAAAGATTAGATCAGGTGAAATACCGAGGTCTTAAGAGTCAGACGAGTCCTTTGAAAGGGAGCAGTAGAGTACTACTAAAAATTTACAGACAGTAGCCCTAACCTCTGCATCATAAAATCTTTGAAAAGTAGAGACGGAGTTACAAATTCATGACCAGCACAACCAAAAACCGAACCAGCATGGTTTTAGAGCAGGACGATCATGTCTGTCACAGCTGCTGAACCATTATGACAGAATTACGGAGGCACTGGAAGACAACAAAAACGCAGATGTGATTTACACAGATTTTGCAAAGGCGTTTGACAAATTTCGGTCATGGAGTGATAATGCATAAAATGAAGGCCATGGGCATTACGGGGAAGGTAGGCAGATGGATTTTCGGTTTCCTAACACACACAACACAAAAAGTAGTAGTGAACAGGGCAAGATCCAGCATCAGCGAGGTCAAAAGCTCAGTGCCCCAAGGCACTGTCCTGGCACCTCTACTGTTCCTCATCCTCATAGCAGACATAGACAAAAACACCCAGCACACTTTTGTATCATCATTTGCAGATGACACTAAAATAAGCATGAAAGTCAGTATGGTGGAGGACACTGAAAAATACTGGAAGACATAAACAGGGTTTTCCAGTGGGCAGTGGAAAACAACATGACGTTCAATGGTGATAAGTTTCAGCTGCTTAGGTATGGAAAGAATGAAGAACTCAAAAGGAGCACTATAT